ACTTTTAACTAGCTGTTTGCTACTTTTAACTAGCTTTTTGTCACTTTTAACTAGCTTTTTGTTACTTTTAACTAGCCTTTTCCACTTTTAACTAGCTTTTTGTCACTTTTAACTAGCTTTTTGACACTTTTAACTAGCTTTTTGTCACTTTTAACTAGGTTTTTGTTACTTTTAACTAGCTTTTTGTTACTTTTAACTAGCTTTTTGTTATTTTTAACTAGCCTTTTCCACTTTTAACTAGCTTTTGGTCACTTTTAACTAGATTTTTGTCACTTTTAACTAGTTTTTTGTTACGTTTAACTAGCTTTTTGTTACTTTTAACTAGATTTTTGTCATTTTTAACTAGTTTTTTGTCACGTTTAACTAGCCTTTTCCACTTTTAACTAGCTTTTGGTCACTTTTAACTAGATTTTTGTCACTTTTAACTAGTTTTTTGTCACTTTTAACTAGCTTTTTGTTATGTTTAACTAGCTTTTTGTTACTTTTAACTAGATTTTTGTCATTTTTAACTAGTTTTTTGTCACGTTTAACTAGCTTTTTCCACTTTTAACTAGCTTTATTTTTGCCAAATATCGGTTTTTATTTTTGTTATTATATGAATTTTCTGCATACCAGACATACCGGTTTAAATAGCCGGAACACGTTCGCAACGTTTCGTCGTGGCCACTGGGGGACACTTTTCCTCGCAGCACCGCTATGTGCATTAGCATGCTAACTCCAAGTTATATAAAAAAAATCATCCTATTTTCGCCATCGCTGACTGTAGCAAACATCTCTTCAGTGACGTGCACGGTTAGATTTAACGCGTGATGGCGTTACGTGCTTCTCTTCTGACAATTTCATTTCCAGGAAATGAAATGTTTTCAGGATAAAGTCAGACCCACAGAAGATCCAGAACCTTCTGTGTTTATCGGTTTTCTGAGCTGCAGAACCACCGGGCTCCAACTTTTAATAACGTCTCTCTGAGCTGCTCCTCTGCCGGTCTGAGAGCCGAGGAGCGGCCCGGAGGACGGACCTGCTGACGGAACCGTACCTGAGTTATCTGAGAGCCTGTAGGGGCCGCAGCACAGGCTCCGCCTCCACTGCTTCTGCACGTTCTCCTTCAGAGCGCAGTGGAAGATGAAGATGAAGAGTCCTGCCGAGAAGAACTCAAATTTAATATGAATAAATCTGGATGTTAAACAGACTCTTATTTTGAAGTGTTTCCATGAGTTTTATTTTGAAACGGTTTTATTTTCTCCTGAGAATAAAAAGTGTTTTGTTTTGGTCACCTTGCAGCGAGTTGAAGATGGTGAACAGGTAGGTGAAGGTGAGGTAGACGGGCCCCCAGGCGAACAGAGCGAAGCCCCACGTCATCCCGAGCAGGAAGGTGAGGCTGACCACGCTCCGCAGGTTCCTGAGGACCTGGACCACAGCAGAGAGACCTGATCTTAGCTCCGAGGTGAAACCGTGTTCAGAGTCGCAGCAACATCAAAGTTCTGCTAAAAGCATGAGAGCTGAGGCAGAACCGGACCTCCTCCCGCAGAGTTCTGTTGCTGCGTTTCCCGTTCCGACCGCAGATCTGCATCATGACCACGATGAACATGGCCACATTCAGCAGGAACACCAGGCAGAAATAACCCACGCAGGTGGAGTAGAACACAGCCCGGTCCCTGATCCAGCACCTGGCAACAGACAGAACCCATCAGACCCACACAGAACCTGAACCCATCAGACCTGAACCCATCAGACCTGAACCCATCAGACAGATCCAGGGTATAAACTCTTTATATTCTAGTTTCCTGTTTTCAGAATCTAAACTGATCAATAAAAATATTAATTTTGATTTTCCTACGTCACACAGATCATCACTGAGGTTCTTCTGGTTCTGGTTCTGACTCACATTCTGGCCAAATCGTCTTTGCTGTTCTCCAGAACACCATAAAAGTTTTTATTCACTGCAACGACGATCCCGACCAGAACCGCAGGAAGACCTGCAACAAGAACAGACAGGATCCAGCTTTATACTGCTTTAACATTTAGCTAACCTTTTGCTACTTGTAACTAGCTTTTGCCTACTTTTAATTAGCTTTTTGCTACTAGTAATTAGCTTTTGACCACTAGCTTTTTTTTTGCCATTTTTAATTTTTTGCCACTTTTAACTAGCTGTTTGCTACTTTTAACTAGCTTTTTTGCTAGTTTTAGCTTGCCTTTTGCTAGGTTTTTGCAAATTTTAACTAGGTTTTTGCCACTTTGAATTACTTTTTTTGCCACTTTTCACCCTTTTGCCGCTTTCAACTAGTTTTTTTAGCCCTTTTACCTAGCTTTTTGCTACTTTTGACTAGCTTTTTAGCACTTTTAACTAGCTTTTTGTGCATTCCAACTAGCCTTTTGCCACTTTTAACTAGCTTTTTGCTACTTTTAACTAGCTTTTTGCTGCTATTAGCTAGTTTTTTGCCACTTTTAATTAGCCTTTTGCCACTTTTGACTAGTTTTTTGCTACTTTTAACTAGCCTTTTGCCACTTTTGACTAGTTTTTTGCTAACTTTCTCTAGCTTTTTACTACTTTTAACTAGCTTTTTGCTACTATTAGCTAGTTGTTTTTGCTACTTTTAATTAGTTTTTTGCCACTTTTAAGTAGCTTTTTGCTACTTTTAACCAGCTTTTTGTCACTTTTGACTAGCTTTTTGCTAACTTTGTCTGGCTTTTTGCTACTATTAGCAAGTTTGTTGGCACTTTTAATTAGATTTATGCTACTTTTAGCTAGCTTAAGCTATTTGCCACTTTTAACTAGCTTTTCATAACTTTCACTAGCTTTCTGCTAATTTTAACTCACTTTTTGCCACTTTTAGCTAGTTTTTACCACTCTTAACTAGCACTTTGCCACTTTTAACTAGCTTTTTGCCACATTTAACTAGCTTTTTGCCACTTTTGACAAGTTTTTTGCTAACTTTCTCTAGCTTTTTGCTACTTTTAACTAGCTTTTTGCTACTATTAGCTAGTTTTTTGCCACTTTAAATTAGTTTTTTGCCACTTTTAAGGAGATTTTTGCTACTTTTAACAAGCTTTTTTCACTTTTGACTAGCTTTTTGCTACCTTTCTCTAGCTTTTTGCTACTATTAGCCAGTTTTTTTGACACTTTTAATTTGATTTATGCTATTTTTAGCTAGTTTAAGCTTTTTGCCACTTTTAACTAGTTTTTGCTACCTTTCACTAGCTTTCTGCTAATTTTAACTCACTTTTGCCACTTTTAGCTAGTTTTTACCACACTTAGCTAGCCTGTTGCCACTTTTAACTAGGTTTTTGCTAGTTTTAGCTAGCCTTTCGCTACTTTTAATAAACTTTTTGTCACTTTTAACTAACTTTATATCACTCATAGCTAATTTTGCTACTTTTAGGTATCTGCCATTTTTAGCTAATTTTTTATCACTTTTAGCTAGCCTGTTGCTACTTTTAACTAGCTTTTTGCCACTCAGCTAGATTTTTGCCATTTTTGGCTAGTCTTTACTTTTCAATCCTGAGTTAGAGTGTAAATCTAACAACAAAGTCTGAATAAAAGTATTTTCAGATGGGTTTGGGCTCACCCCAGCCTACAATGCAGAACTTGAGGATGTATCGGCGGATGTAGGTGTTGAAGACTTTGACCAGGGCGATGTACATGTGGACCGACTCCAGGCCCATCCAGGTGAAGGAGGTCAGCAGGAAGTAGTGCAGGAACACGGCGGCCGACATGCAGAGCCCCTCGCTCCTGTTCAGGCCCGCCAACCAGCCGTCCAGCAGGAACACCAGGTTCAGGAACAGCAGCGACGCGCTCAGGTTCATCAGGATCTTAGATGGGTAGTCTCGCCTCAGGTTCCTGCAGGAGGGCAGAGTCCAGCTTCAGGTCCAGGACCTCAGAGGGAACCTGGACCTGAGAACAAAGACTCACTCGAAGGCGATGTAGGTGAGCAGCGTGGCTGCGCAGCAGATGGCCGACACGCCGCAGCCGATGTAGGAAAGGAAGGTGAGGATCTGTTCATTCTTCTGATCGATCTGGGAGGACGTCAGAGACACGTCCTGCGGAGACATGGAGACAAACACAGAGACATGGAGACAAACACAGAGACATGGAGACAAACACAGAGACACAAACACAGAGACATGGAGACAAACACAGAGACACAAACACAGAGACATGGAGACAAACACAGAGACATGGAGACAAACACAGAGACATGCAGCTGAAGCTTATAAACTGCATTACCCACAAGCCACTGGGTGAAACAGGAAGTCACGACTTGTTCTACAGATTTAGCTGCTCAGGTGATTCAAGAAGAGCAATGATTGGTTGAACGTTGGACTCAAGGAGCCAATCGGAGGCTCAGCTAGGTTTTGATGAGGTCCAAACCAAAAACAAAACCAGTTTGGATCTTTAAAGGTGAAATCTAGAACTAAAAATAAACGTTTGAATCTCACCATCAGGATGCCGAAGTGGGTCAGGTGGTCACAGAGACAGACGGTTCTGTTGCTGCTGGATTCTCTGGAGACGCTGCAGCCGCGGTCGTTCCAGCCTCCATTGCCCTCTGGTGGTGAAACAAACACATTACAATTGGATCAAAACAATTATTTTACAACAAATCTAAGTTTTCACTTTTATAAGATGACTCCAGTTCTAAAAAAAAAAATAAAAAATCTAGTTTCAAATATAAAAATCCTGCCCTCTGAAATAAAAAATAAAATCAGGAAGGTTTATTTTGATAGCTCTTTTTGGGAGTTTTATGAAAGATTTTTGTTGTGAGCTAAATAAAAGTATGTTTTAAAAGGTGTCCTGATGCATCTCAGTAATCCAGGTAAAAAATCAAAAGGAAAAAAAATTGTATAGGTTTTCTGGACGGTTCTTCTCTAATGAAACGTTTCGTCTCTCCTCCAAGAGACTTCTTCAGTCTGAGAGTTTCAGACAAAATTCAGGCTTTTAAGCACTGCCTCCATGTGACTGATACTCACATCACATGGCTATCATTGACACCTAATTAACACCTATTGTTAACAGGGGGTGGAGTGATACTGGCAATAGCTGCACTGTAGGAGGGGGACAACTGAAAACGGGTGTTGCGTGTGTTTCAGAGAAACTGAGACGTTTATTTTCTAAACATGATGTCCCAGTAGCTTTCAAACCCCAAAA